CTCCTCCTCCCCGAGGCCGGCTGCCCTGCCCGCCTCCTTCACGCTGAGCCAGCCTGCCAGCCTTTCTGCCCACACGTCCAGGCAGGATGGAATGAAGCAACCCTTCAACCACCTAGCCGTCCGGCTCAAATGAGCTTTCACATTGCCGTGCATGTTCGGGGTCTCGCCTTTAGACGGAAAGCGCTCCCTGCTTGGGTCGTGCTGGAACCAGGCTGTCCTCAGGGCCCTGGCCTCTGCTTTCCACCCCCGGGGCGCGCGCCGGCCTCGGATGCACCTGGCACAGCAACAGGCTCCTCACAAACATCTGCCGCGAAAGGATGCTGACCCGGCTCCGAGGGCCAAGGGCCGGGGTGTGCGGCCCGTGTCTTCAGGTCTGCTCGGCCTCACTCCCGAGGACATCACTGCAGACGAGGAGCGCTGCTGACTGTCCAGTGTTCGCACCGTTCAGACCCCGGAAGACAGACCCCAGCGGAGTTTTCACCTGAACTTGGAGGGAGGCGGAGAGTGGGAGCAACAGAAGGGCCGCTGCTCCGACTCCCGGGACTCCGGGCTCACAGCGCGCATCTCATGAGGGTCAGCGCCCAGCCCTGCTTCCCACCCAGTCCGTCTCGTGGTCGTAATGGGACGCTCCGGGGACACAGAGAGAGGAGAGAGGGGAGGGGGTCCCGCCGTCTCACACAGGCTGGGGCACCCGCAAGGGAGGACCCGGGAAAGCAGGGGGCGAGCTCCCAATGGGAGGGACTCATTGCAGTGAGGCACCCCTACGTCAGCCCCGGATGCATCACCCCCACTTCTAGCCATGCCTTTCCCCGGGGCCTTCCCTTCCCTCCTCAGGAGGCGAGAGAAGGGCGCTGCTCAGCTCAGCCCACCAGCGGCAGCGGCCCTCCGGGCAGCGGGCATAGCACTGAGGCAGGTCCCCAATGGATGTGTGAGGGGCATGCTCCGGCCTCTGGGCAGAAGGACTGTGGCCCTCCATCGCCCTCTGCACAGGGAAGTCTTGGAGGGTGAGTCCTGGAGTTGCATTTGGGCCGATGAGTCATTTACTGTGCGACGGATGAACCACACTTTGTTTTCTGGATTTGTTACCCATCTCAACTCCCAGCAGGAGCAGGGGGGCCAGAGCGCCCCCAGAACACAGACATGCCCTGCCTGGTGTCCGGGTGGCCTGGTGTGTACCCACTCCCTCCCCGAAGCAGCACAGCTCACACCCGGGCACTCCTGGCCGGAACCCCGCCTCTTGCGGCCTGACTGCAGACAGGACCCCGGCTTTAACCACGTGTTTGAGATCTGGGGGGCTGTGACAGTGCAAAGAGCCTTTCCCACGGCGGACTGGGAGTCTTCGAGGGGCGTGCGCACGGCATGAGTGCAGGTTCGCCGACGACGGTGCAGTCGGCTCCGCTTTGTGGGTTTACCTTCATTTAAACAGACGCCTACAGCCGGAGCGCGAGGAGACACTGAAATTACAAGGTGAGAGACAACCGCCTCCTTCCCCTGATTATGCCAACCCTTCCCGCTTCCGGGACAATTCGGGAGCAGCCGTTGCCGCCTCGGCCCTGCTCTGACCGGTGTCCCTTTTCTACTCCACAGCAGACACCGAGTACCGGAGGCCGTGGCAGAGGGAAGCCTGCGACAGGGACCTGTGACCGAATGGGTGATTTTTTTTCTGTTATATTTTTCTTGATTTCAGAGAGGAAGGCAGAGGGAAAGGGAGAGAATCCTTAATGGTGAGAGAGAATCATTGATTGGCTGCCTCCTGCACCACCCTGTGGGGATGGAGCCCGCAACCTGGGCACATGCCTTTGGCCAGAATCGAACCAGGACCCTTCAGTCCACAGGCCGGTGCTCTATCCACTGAGCCAAGTCGGCTAGGGCATCCTCTTTCATCAGTGATGTTCCTATCTCTCTCTCCCTCCCCCTTCCTCTCTGAAATCAATAAAAATATATACTTTTTAAAAAGAATAAGGATGTTCCTATCATTCTTCCCCCTCACAAGTGAGCGATTTGAGGTTCAAAAATAATGGATTGGATCCACATTAATCCATCTGGACAACTGTACACAGCTTTTATTGTCTTCATTCAAATTCAGATTGGACTGCTTCATCTAAAGCAGCGGTTCTCAACCTGTGGGTCGTGACCTCTTTGGTGATTGAACGACCCTTTCACAGGGGTCGCCTAAGGCCATCCTGCATATCAGATATTTACATGACGATTCATAACAGTAGCAACATTACAGTTATGAAGTAGCAACGAAAATAATTTTATGGTTGGGTCACAACATGAGGAACTGTATTTAAAGGGCCAGAAGGTTGAGAACCACTGGTCCAAAGGGTTTCAGAATGACAGCAATTCTTGGCATAATCTAAGATCGCAGAGATTGTTAAGTGGCTTTATTTGAAAGAGCTCATATTTTCAAATACATACACACCCATATATGTAGTTGCTACCGATGCACTGCATTTTCTACCTTGGAGAACAGGTAGAGATTTAAGGTCCATCAACTATAAAACCCATCGATTGACTCCCCATTATTCTGATCCATCTTTTTCATGTTCATTTTTGAAATTCAGGCTACTTGAATTAGTCATGTTTTAATAGTCCAGTATAATCAAGCACAAGCACGGGCGCACGCCCCCCCACACACACACACACACATGAATCCATATAAAACGGGAAATCTGAATACAGTTGGTGGATTGTGTCACTGCTAATTTTCTTGTTGTGATACTATACTGTGGTATTGAAGACGTTATCATTGGGGAAAGTGGCTGAAGGGCACACAGGGCCCTCAGCCCCTCACCCAGACTGGCCAGGCACCCCAGTGGGGACCTCCACCCTGAAGGGGGTGCAACCAGCTGCAAACAGCCATCATCCCCTCACCCAGGTTGGCCAGGCACCCAAGCGGGACCCCTACCTGTGATGCAGGACACCCTTCAGGGCAAACCAGCCGGCCCCACCCATGCACCAGGCCTCTAC